TTGGAAGAAGTACAGTCAGAATGTTCCTTAGAAGCTAGGATGGTGAGACTTTGAGTCCCGTAGTCTGGGCATGTTTTCAGGAAGGACAAGTACCTGGAGAAGGACATCATACTTGGTAAAGTGGCGGGTCAGTTTGGAATGACCAAACATTCCACCAGTTTGGAATGACACAGTGGCAGCAATAATGAACTCAATTATAACAACTGTGAGGATGGCACAGGACTGGGCAATATTTTTTCCGTTGTGCACAGGGACTGCATTGAGTGGGACTGGCTCAACAGCATCTAGCATTAACAACAAAGCACAATACTGTTATGTACTATGTACTCAATTACAATGGGTAGAACGTATACTGATATTTCTTCATAAATACCTTTAAAATGTTTACACTGAGGCATATTAATACCTGAATACTGTATGAGTATATTTATAAAGGGAGATAAATTCTTCCTTCTAAAATCAGATTTGCTACTTGACTTCTCTGCCAAGCTCTTTCATTCTTATTTTAATCATTTGTTGTTGCTGTTGTTAAGTGCCGTCGAGTTGGTTCCGACCCATAGCGACCCTATATAGGTTTCCAAGAACAGTTGGTGAGCTTGAGCCACCGACAGTGTAGTTCAAATGACTTTGCAGTCCGACGCATTAATCCACAGCACCACACAAGGACTCCAGTTTAATCATTTAGTCAATAAATGTCCAGTGAAGTTTGTTTATACAGAATTCTATATTATACAATGTAAACCAAGTATGGAACTACTACTATTGCAAATCCAGTTCTTTTCCATCAATAAGCACTCTCACATGCCCTCCAGTGCTAAAAATGTTTACTGTTTTCTTGTCCCTATAATCCAAGTTCAAAATTTTGGTGCTATCTTTAAAACCGGATATAGAGCACTGAAACATGTCATGAAATGTTAAGTCCTGGTGTGGTAAATGTAGAATAAACACTGGGCTGCTAAGCACAAGGTTGGCAGTTCAAACCCACCATCTGCTCTTCCGAAATCCTATGAGTTGGAGCTGAATAGACAGCACTTAACAACAATTAAAATTTTTTCTTTTCCTATTTGAGTAAGGGTTTAAATATGTAGTTTAGATGTAGTTCAGTAGAAAAACTATATTCTAAGACTCCTATAGTATGATATTCCATATACTTCATCAATGTAGCAATTTAAAATAAGGCTCATAACGTAAAGGAAAAAATAAATGATCTCCATACTGATGATATGTAAGCATAAAAACTTGACATTTGCTGCCACCTTGTGACTGAATAAATACTTTGTCGTCATTTCTATTGACTAAGAAAAAAAAATGGATTGTTCCCAAGAAATCAAGCATAAAAGGCAGATTATAGCTCTATGTAAAGATAGTAGTTTCTATTTACAAGAAAAGCAGAGTAGGAGAAAATTATCTATCTGAAACAAAGCATAATACATTGTCTTATACAAATGAATACAAAATAGTTGCACAACTTACCCACTGTATCTCCCTCTTACTAATACTGCTAAGTGTTGTCAGGTTGATTCCGGTTCAGAGTGACCCTGTATAAGGTATCTGTGCAGGGGCTGTTGGGTTTGACCCACTGACCTTGTGGTTAGTAGTCCAGTGCTTCTCCTACAGCACCACACCAAGACTCCTCTTAATTACACCTACATTTTGTCGGGAGGAGTACTGGTATGGTGATGTGGGATAAAACACTGGACAAGGAGAGTGGTTCAAACTTACCAGCTGCTCCATATATACAAGTCAAAATCGACTTGACAACACCTAACAACCATTTTTGTAGTGAATCCTAGTGTGGTGCTGTAGCATAAGTATTGGACTGCTAACTACAAGGCTAGCAGTTCAAATCTACCAGCTGTTCCACGGAAACCATATACAGGGTCACTATGAGTCGGAACTGATTCAACAACACTTAACAATAACATTAGTAAGAGAGGGATATAGTGGATTATTTGTGTGCAAGATTTTGTAATCATGTGAATATGACACTGTATTATGCTTTGAAACATTCATATAATTTTCTTGGAAGCTCTCTGCAGGGTTGCTGTGAGTTGGAACCCATCCAAGGCACTTAACAACGTTTTTGTAGGCCTTCCTTCTTTGCTAGGTTGATGGGATTGTTGTTGTTGTTGTTAAGTGATAGTATGTTGTTGTTGTTGTTAGGTGCCATAGAGTCAGTAATGACTCATAGCAACCCTATGCACAACAGAATGAAACACTGCCCGATCCTGGGCCAACCTCACATTTGTTGCCACACTTGAGCCCACTGATGCTGCCACTTTGCCAGTCCATTTCGCTGGGGGTCTTCTCTTTTTCTCTGACCCTCCACCTTACCAAACATGATATCCTTCTCCAGTGACTGGTCCCTCCTGACAATATGTCCAAAGTATGAGAGACAAAGTATGGCCATCCTGGCCTCCAAGGATCACTCTGGCTGCACTTCTCCCAACACAGATCTGTTGTTTCTTTTGGCAGCCCACGGCACTTTCAATATTCTCCTCCAACACCATAACTCAAAAGCATCAATTCTTCTACGGTCGTCTATGGTAAGTGACAGTATAGACGTAAATTAAAGTCCATTCCTCAAGTTTTTATTTTGGCTGCCACAAGGTTAGGTTTCATAAAACAATTAAAATAAAAAGATCCTGACTATTGAGCTATGTCCTAGTCTGTGATGAGTTAAATGTACAGGTTTAAGAACACTGGGTTTTAGATCTTTCCTTAGCTTAGCCTTTGAGTGCTGTAGCAGACTGGGTCTTACATCTTTTTATATCCAGAAGCTAATAGTAGCTGGCACTTAACAAGGCACTCAGTGAATGTTCACCAAATATATGGATGCTGCCAAAAAGAATATTTACTGGATTCACTTGCATAGCGACAAGTACTTACTTCACAGACTCTCTATTGTCTACTACACTCAGTTCCATGAAGACAAGTGAATGCTTTTGAGTATTGCTGAGACTGTTAGTTCACTCAATTAACCTTGGAGAAACAATCATAATCACCCAAAATTTTATGTGGATTTCTAGATCTTTAGATTATAGAACTAGTCTAAAGGTTTAGAAATAGCTACATCTCAGAATCAGGAAAATTATTATACAGACCTTTCAATTTTATTGCCACATCAATATATGATTGCAGGAATGCCATGGATACTGCTTCCCCTACATTAAAACAAAGTTTAAAAATCAGCAAATATTATCATGTGCATGTCTCTAAAGCATTCAAATCTAATAAATAAATATTCTAGCACATAGCACTCAACATTTGTCCAAATACTTGAGTTCCAAATGAAACTAACTTTCTGCATTCATACTGTAAAAACTATAGTTTAACAACTATTATTTGACAATAAAAGAAATATGTTGTTGTTAGCTGCCACTGAGCTGACTCATGGTGACGCTTTGCACAACAGAATGAAACATGGCCCAATCTTAAACATGCCATGATCAGCTACAAATCAGACATATTTGCAACATGACATGTGTTGATCCATAGTGTTTTTCTTCTTTGGCTGATTTTTGGAAGTAGATTGCCAAGTTTTAATTCCTAGTCCATGGTAGTATACAAGTGCCACTGAAACCTGTCCAGCATCACAGTAATATGCAAGCCTCCAACGCCATGCACTTCCTGGGAATCAAACCTACATCTGTCTTCCACATGGAAGATCAGAATTTTACCACTGAAACACCAATGCCTCACAAAGAGCAACGTACTCTCAATTAACTTACTATAACTGCTAATATATTAAAATCATTTGCCTAAATCACAGTAATTTTTATAAATTATTAACCAAACATCTAATTAATTATTAACCTTCAGTTTTTAAATCAGATATAATCAGTTTTACAACCCCAGATCAATTAGAAGCAAATGCTTCAAACTGTTCAGTTTACCTGGAACATGTGAGTGAAAGCTGTAATTTTACAACATGAACATGCAAAATTACAGAATGCAAAAATAAAATCTATCTACTTTTAATGTTCTAGATGACTCCTGGTATGGCACTGTAGGAAAAGCACTGAACTTCAAGGTTGGTTTGAAGCACAAGGTCAGCGGTTCAAACTCACCAGCCGCTCCTCAAAAACCCTATACAAGGTCACTGTGAGTTGGAACCGACTCGATGGCACTTAACAAGAAGTTTAAATGTTGTAGTGGTTATTATGGTGGTGGTGGTTATGTGCCGTGGAGTCGGTTCTGATTCATAGTGACCCTGCACAGGGTCTCCGAGGCTGTAAATCTTTACAGGAGCAGAAAGCCTCATCTTTCTCCTGTGGAACAGCTGGAAGTTTCGAACTACTGACCATGAGATTAGCAGCCTGATTCATAACCACTAAGCTGCCAGAGCTCCTAGTGGTTATTATCATCACCTATAAATGCTCATACTCACAACCAGCATAGAAGAGAACTACGATGTCAGAAGTCATTACTGTTGTGTTAAATGTCTCTTCTGTTAGTTCCACTGTGAGTTCCAAAGGCAATTGTCTCTTCCTGTCTCTATAAACCGTTTCAGCCACTTCATCATCTTGAGTATCTAAAATGTTTGAAAATAAATCAATTTAAATATAAAAATATATTTCAGAATATTTAACTTTCCTCACATGCAAATACATCATAATTTAGTACTTTATAAAGACTTTGGACCAAAAACCAGAAGAGTTGTGGGATGACATCAAGAACATCA